GTTTAATGTGTGAGAAATCAATTATTTGTTTATTCAGTCACTATGATGTGCTGCTTTTTAAAATTCAGTATATTATTTTAAAAAAATGTAGTCCTTCATGTTATGGAAAAACCCTCTTGATTCAAGAGAAAACTCATGTTTTTAAGAAAATGGCCACTTACCAATAAATTGTTAGATGATCAATAAGATCAATCAACTATAATTCATTAATTGATAGCTTGTATCCTTAATGTTAACTAAAAGAGGTATATTTTTTAAACAAAAGTGTAGCAAAGGTGGCTCTTTTTAAGTTTCAATATTTTTCCTCCAAACCTCATCATAAATATCAGCTGTATAATATACTGTATTATTCTACCATTTAAAATAGGCCATTTGGGGATTTGGGGAGTAAAATTGTTTAAATTTGTAACCAGACTTTATGAAAAGTGTAATGTATTAAAAAAATTAAATATGAAATATAAATTACAGTTCTGTTTATTTTGTTGACCAGTTTGTCTGTATAAATATCAGTCATGAGGTTTTTAATGTTCAAGTATTTTTAGCTACAACAAAGATCATATATTGATCTTTTTAAATATAAAGACCTTCATAATCTGCATGTTGATGCTTGATTATAAAGGTTGACACTGGAACGCTGATTTTGCAGTTGTGTTGTTAAATTAGTAATAATTAAATAATATATCACAGGTCTGCCCAGTATATATCTGCCTTTTAAAGAGGTTTGTGTAGTAGTCTTTCCTGTCCCTCAAACCCAGCCGGTCGAGGCAGATGGCCGCCTGTTCTGAGCCTTGTTCTGCTGGAGGTTTCTTCCTGTTAAAGGAGTTTTTCCTCTCCACTGCTGCCAGTGTGCTGCTCAGGATGGGAGACAGTGACGAAGCTAAGATTCGGCGCAGTTTGCTGGCATTTTTGACAACAGTTGTTGTGACTTGGCGCTATATAAATAAAGTGAATTGAATTAATATATGTTGGTATTATCAACCCTGAGTTTAGGTTGTTCTTATATGAATTCAACTTTTTTTTTTCTTTGCAGATGCTCCGTCCTACGTGAACGGATACAGTGGAAAACATGACAAGTCTGAGAGCAACTCGGAGCAAGAAGCAACTCCAGAGGACAGTTCTGCAGAAGAGGAGGAACAGAAAGTCTCAAGAAGCACATCAGCCAATTCAGGAAGGAAAACCAGGATCGTTAGTGAGGAGGAGGACGACACGGAAGGCCAAACCACACGATGCAAACCTCCTGTAAGCTCAGATGAAGACAAAGGAGACAGTTCCCAGAACCACCTGCACCAAAACGGACAAAATGTGAAAGAATCTTTCCCCAGGGACTCAAAGAGAAAAAGTAAAGTTCTGCCATCAAAAAGCCAAGACAAACAAAACTCTGCCTCAACCGATAAAGGTGCAGAATCAGAGGAACTCAGTAATTCTCAGAAGAGATCCAGCCCACACAAGAAGGGAGGGAAAAATCCCTCCAGTGACGGGTCTGATTTCGAAATAAAGAGGACGAGAAATAAAAGCAAAAGACCTCGATGCAACACGTCCGCTTCGGAGAGTTCGGAGCAAGAGTACGCTCCTCGGCGCAAGTCGAGGAGGAAGCGCTCCACTGGATCGTCTGAAGAAGAGTCCGATCAGTCCGATGACGCATCGAACCGACGTCTGAACCTTCGAGCTCTACCGAAAAAGAAATACATCATGGACAACTCTCTCTCTGAGGACGACTCTGCCCCAGCAAACCAGCAGAGGCAAAGAAACGGTAAAAAGAGAGACACCGAATCAAGCGAAGACCGATACAATACACATCTGTCCAACAGGAAGGCGCCCAACGAAGCCAGGAATCAGCTCTCCTCCAAGAGGAAACGGATGTGCACCTCCGAGTCTGACGAGGAGGATGAAGATGGAGAGAGGAAGCCAGTAAACAGTAGAAACAACGGCTCACGCTCCTTAAAGCACTCCAAACAGGAATCTAAACAAGAGAGCGACTCTACGTCCCACTCCGAATCCAGCCAGGAGGAGCGCGTCGCTTGTTTGAGGAACAACAGGAGGCGGTCGAAACCGCAACGCAAAAAAAGCTGCAGCAGCAAAAACAGTTCAGAAAGCGAGCAGTTGTCCTCTGCCTCTGAAAACTCTTTTGCCAGCTCAGGGTCCCACAGCAGTCCAAAGAGGAGGAGTCGCGCACGGACACGGATCAGCGAAAGGCCTGCAAGCCGCCAGCTGAGACAGCGCCGCCCGCAGGTCGCCTCGGAGGAAGAGGACAGCGACCAGTCGTACGGCAAGTTGTACGGCAAGCCGCGGCGGAAAACGCGCGTCAACACCCGCAACCGCGGGAAGCGGACGGTCAATTATCAGGACAGCGAATGACTGCGGCGGCGGCAGGCTTTACTGGGGAAGGCGGACATTTACCGGACAGGTTAAGGACGTAATGATGGTAGTAGCACTGGAGTCTGAAGAAATTGCTGTGAATCTGTTTAATTCAGGGATATTTATATTTTCTATGAAAAACAAAACAAAATAAAAACATGTTTATAGATGTTATACAAATTCAAGCATTTGAACTGCTGGTTTTTCATAACGTCACAGAGCAGATCACCTCCTCCCATCCTGCTTGTTGCAATTTGGCCAGCAGAAGACTGGTTCTGGGGAATCTCGTCAGCTCGGGTGCTATCTAATATACCTCTGTTTAATCAAGCATATTGCTGGCTTGCACTAAGAAACACTGTAAGGAGGTATTTAATACACTAGTTTTGCATTAGAATCTCAGGGGTCAACTAAGTTTACTGTAGTCTGGAGACATGCAGTTGTTTTTGAGCTTGAGGTGAGGACGAGAGATGATTTCAGGTCGGCACACGTCCGAGCACACCGACCGGAACCAACTAATAATCCACGACTACAGCACTCCCATGTAAATCCACACACTTAAAGCTTGACTGTATGGAGATAACGAGCCAAATGAACAGAAATTCTCTTCCCAACACATTTCTTTCTTTAGTCATATTTTTGTTCAATTTGTTTTGTATTCTAGTGAATAGATGTAAATATGTGATTGAGAATGAAATTGAACGACTTGACGATCAGTCAGTAGCAAAGTGTTTATTTAAGATTGAGGGATTCTTTTTATTTCTTACCTTTTTAATTGCCACATGTCATGGACTGGTACCTTTTTTTTTTGTTTGCCAAGTGCATTAGTACTTAAAGCAAAATGCAATGATTTCTCATATTGGGAAGCCCTTTAATTGTCTTGTGTTACCTGTTTTCAGTATTAATTTTTTTTGTGTTGACTTAAACTTTTTTTTTGAGGTTTCCTAATACAGTTGGTTGATTTGTTTTTCCTTAATGTCTTTCGTACTACATCTTTAATAACTTCACAGGAATATTATTGATGCAATGTGGTCGTGGAGTGCAATGAATGACATATTCCTTCTGTTAATAAAGACATAAGTTCAAAACACATTTTGTGTCCATCTCTCACAAGAAACATGGTCTGTTTTATCATTTTTTCACATTAGGAAAATACTTTCTGATCTAAAAAAAAAAAAAAAAAAAAACATGTCCAGAGGACCTACCAACATTTTTTTCTACCTAGGTTATTAAGATGCTTTAGGACATCTAGTCTAATTTTTTGTAAATTTTAAAGTAAACCATAKTTGCTGCTGCTAGTCAAAACACTTGTGTAAAATGAATTGCAGTTTTAGTATATTTGTTAACCACTTTTTAATTAAAATCATTTTTGACGAAACTAATAAAAAGCAGGGTTGGTTTGTGTGCAGGTGTTGATTAATTTAGGAGTTAAATAGCTGCACTTTAAGACCAAAAGGACCAATTTCAAAACTAGATATAGAACTATGTTTTTGAATTTTTAGTCTTGGAATCTGAATGAGTTCACAATTCATTTTTTTTTTTTTTTTTTTTTTTTTAGAATAATTCATTCCGCATGTCATCGTTGTTCAGTCAAAACATGCTCTTATTGTGAAATTCTAACAAGCAGACCTTTGTTTTTCCGGTTTGACGATGACATTTTGGACATTTTCGCACTTTCGACAGGACTGACTCGCACAAACAATAACTATTTCTCAAATGTGCTTTTAATACTTTCAGTATTTAGAACAAAGAATTATTATAGTTTCACAAGTTTTATTACAATGTTAACGAACTTGGTGTAATCGGTTTTTTTCTCCTCTTACAATTTCACGAAAATGCCGGGAGGTAAACACATTAGATTTACTTTAGTTTAATCTCATGTGAAGTAGTGGGCTAGCATGTATTTTAACAACAGAGACTAGTATTCTTCACGTGTGACGTAAAGAAATAGTCAGGCTTGCATCTAGAACAACGTTTGGAATGTGTTATTTATATAAACTAAGTGAAGACATTTATTTCTTTTACAAACAGTTTAACGCTAAGGCTAAAGTTTAGCATGTCCTCTGTCAGTCAGTACCATAAATAACATAAAGCTGTTCTATACCTCCAAGGTTAGCACTTAAGCCGCAAAAGTTAACCTGTTCAGGGCTATATTTAGAGCAGGATGTCTGCGTGGAAAGGTCTTATTCACCTCGTGAAACACAGGAGCCTGCTGTGGACACATTTGCGGAGAAGAAACGTCACCACCTGGTCACCTGTTGGAGCTGCTTTTAACACCAAACCTCACAGGAGACTGGACCATTTTGAGAAAAACGTGGTTCGTACAGTATTTTTAGCACACTACGTCATCTGTAGTTCAAACACTAACTCTGCTTATTTGTAATGTCATTTCCGCCCTGTGTTTTTGTGTGACATGTGGCTGCAGGGCTTGTTTGGAGTCCCCGAACTCACCTGTCCTGCAGGTTTCCAGGTGGCCACGAGGGCGGCGCTGCAGAGCACAGAGCTTCTGCTGGACAGAGTGTGTTCCTCCCCTCCAGGTGTGGAGACGATCCAGTGTTTTGACCAGCTCTCTGATGGGCTGTGTAAAGTAGCTGATCTGGTGAGTTTAAATAAACCAACCACAGGTTTGCAGAGTGGTGTTTACCAAGATCCAAATCCAGAAAATCAACTTTGGAATATGATCTGAAGCTTTAAAACATGCAGAACATCTGTGCTGTTGTTGTTTGGTAGAAACTCTTTCCAACCACGCAAAAGTAAATCCTATATGCAGCAAAGCTCACTTAGGAGTGATTTGTGTCATACGCCAAAACATTTCATTAGCTATTGCCTGTTAAAAAGTTAACGAAACTCATTCTTCTCCCTTAAAATATCTAACTAATGATCACATTGTTTGCTCACATTGGACCTCACTGACATGTAGATTAGTTCTTCTCTAGTAGCATTTCTCCTGTGACTATTGAGTGTTTTAAAAGGATCTGACTTTCCAGCAATAAGGACATGATCTATCTTAGTAATAAAGACAAAGCAAAAAGTAATAATCAAACCTAAGCAGTGTTTTGCTATTAAAACTAAAAAAATTAAAGGTATTGTGATAAATGTAAGTGAAAGGGTCATTTTATTACTTTACCTGCTGATGTGTCATATTTGCTGACATTTAAGAACCTTACTTGGTCAAATGTATAGAGAGATAGCGGGAGAAAAGACTGGTGCCAGACCACTCAAACTATGGAAACAAGTGGTAAAATCTTGAAATAAGTTTTGAAGTTCACAGGTAGTCAATGTTAGCTGTGAAAAACTGATATTGTGTGTTTTCAGTTGATCACATTTTACATTTTCATCACATAAGTAGTAGTGTGAGTGTTTTGTCTGCTTGTATCAAACCAATTAATTTGTTAAAGTCCGAAGGAAATCTAAACACGTTTCTAAGTTTGCAGCAAAGAGACATTATATAGTGGTCTTTTTTTAGTTCTGCTCTCAGGCTGACTGAATTCTTGTTGTTAATAGTTGGGTTCATTTATGCAGGCAGACTTTATGAAACTGGCTCATCCAGATCCAGAGTATCGTGAGGCTGCAGAGAAGGCCTGCATTGAGATCGGCACCGTTGTGGAGAAGTAAGAAACCTCTTTTGTCTCTCATGGCTCAGCAGCTCTATTCCTTTTTAGTGCAGAAGAAGAGATGTTCCTGCATGCTTCAGCTCTTACATGTTGTTATTGTGTTTCAGACTGAACACCAACGTCGAGTTATGCAGAAGTCTGAAGAACTTACTGGACAACCCGAAGGCTGTGGCTCAGCTGGACCCTGACACAAAGTAAGAATTTTATCACGCAGTATACAGCAGGTAAAATAAGTATTGAACACGTCAACATTTTTCTCAGTAAATATATTACTAGAGGTCCTAAAGACATGAAATTTTCACCAGGTGTTGGTAACAACCCAAGTGATCCATACATACAAAGAAATCAAACCATAAATGTCCACAAATGAAGTTATTTGCAATAATGTGGAATGGCACAGGGAAAAAGTATTGAACACATGAAGAAAGGGAGGTGTAAAAAGGCATGGAAAGCCAAGACACCAGCTGAAC